CGCGGCCGCGTGGGGACGGCGGCGGGGCCGGGTGGAGTAGCGGCGGGGCCGGGTGGAGCGGCGTCGGGGCCGGGTGGAGCGGCGTCGGGGCCAGTAGAGGCGGCGCCAGGGCCGGGAAGGGCAGCTCCGGGGCCGCAGTGGTAGGCGACGGGGCCAGCAGAGGCGGCGCCGAGGCAGGGAAGGGCGGCGCCGGGGCCGCAGGGGTAGACGACGGGGCCGCTAGGGCGGCTAGGAGGGGGGGGGTCGCGAGGGCGGCTTGAAGAGGCCGCGAGGGCGGCTAGAAAGGGCCGCAAGGGCGGCGTGAAAGGGCCGCGAGGGCGGCGCGACGCGACGGAGCCGCGAGGGCGGCGGATCGGGGCCGCGAGGGCGGCGCGACGCGGCCGCTAGGGCGGCGCGACGTGAAGGGGCCACGAGGGCGACGCGACGGTGCCACAAGCGCGACGCGACAGGGTCGAAAGGGCGGCTCGACGGGGCCATGAGAGGGGAGCGCGACTTGGGCAGTGTAGAGCGCGCTCCGGGCAGGAAAAAAAAAGGTGGTGGGCCCTAGGAACAGTTCCCACAGGGATACCTGCTCGATACCATGAGAAACTGAACGAGAATGGAATGACTAAGGGAAAGTTGGGTACAAGTACAAACCCTAGAAGTTTGTACCCCATATGTGCTACCCCACTATAGCCTACAGTAGCTATGTCATATAAATCTGACACTCAACTACCCGATTCACGACAAAGAGGCCTTAGCGATCATCACCGCATTCAAGACATGGCGATGCTACCTCGAAGGGAGAAAGACCACGGTCTACACTGACCATTGCAGCCCGAAGTACCTAAAGACGCAGCCTACCCTCTCCAGGCGACAGGTCAAGTGGATCGACTTCCTCGAGACGCACTTCGACTACGACATCGTGTATAAGTCGGGACACAAGAATAAGGCAGACGCATTTTGCCGGCCTGGACACGTTGCCACCATACAGATTGAGAGGATGAATTCGTTACCCAATATCACATATGGATATACCATCGACTCCGAGATTCCCTTGGCAGAGAAGAATAAATTGTTGCAGTGTGACCACAACATTGCACTACGCGAAGGATCAACAAAGATATGAGTACCCAACTACCCGCCTCTTCGGCAGCTACTTCTTGAGGAGTTCCGCAATGTACTCTACGCTGGACACTTCAGGAGCAAAAGAGTCTTGCGGGGATTGCGAAAGTCTACTACTAGCCTCACATGGCAAACGACGTGCAGAAGTTTGTCACTTCGTGCGACACATGCCAGCGGATGAAGACAGAAAAGAGCAGGACTTCTTCAGCCTCTGCCCGTCCCAAAACATCCCTGGCAAGTGGTCAGCTTGGACTTCATCACTGAGCTACCACCTACCATAGCAAGGCATGACGCCATCGTGGTCGTCATCGACAAATTCTCAAAGATAGGACACTTCATTCCGACGCATACAACCGCACGCGCGGAGGAAACGACACGGCTATTAATCAAACACATCATCTCACAGCACGAGATCCTGATAACCCTTATATCCGACAGGGACCCTAAGTTTACTAGAAACTTCTGGAAAGAGCTCATGACGCTCATGGGGATACGCCTAGCGATGTCATCTGCATATCATCCCCAGACCGTCGGGCAGACAGAGCGCTTGAACCACATTGTGGAACAACTTTTGCGCGCATCGTGCAAGGACGATATTAACAAGTGGGACTTGCACTTGCCAGTGTTGGAGTTCGCCTACAATAATGCGAAGCATGCTGCAACAAGAGCGACCTCATTTTTCCTCTGTTACGGTCGACATCCAGTAACTCCACAGCAACCAACAGTATCTGCAATCGTCCAGCCCGCACACCACTTCGTTACCACAATGCAGCAGCTTTGGGATCGGACACACAAGTGTCTACAGGACATATAGTCTTCACAGAAACGCTTGGCCGATCGCCATCGCCTCGATCATACCATTGCGGTTGGTGACCATGTGCTTCTTGACACATGCAACCTCAACCCCGGTCACCTTCCATCCAAGTTACGACCTCGCTTCTGCGGACCTTTCCTCGTAGAAGAGCAGGTCACACCAGTCACATTCCGCTTGCGCCTACTAGCTACTTGGAAGATTTATAACGCCTTCCACATGCTACTTCTTAAAACCCTATCAGGATCCAAATAAGATGTACACGGGACGCCAGCCTCCGCCGCCGCCTCCAGTCCTTGTGAATGATGACCCTGAGTACGAGGTCGAATCAGTGCTTGCACATCGTCGTTGTTGGCATGGCGCCCTGGAGTTTCTCATACGCTGGAAGGGCTATTGTCCTTCTGAGGACAGCTGGGTCTCTGAAGAAGACACGAGTAACGCCCGACGTTCTCTCCGCGACTATCTTGTCAAGAGGGGTGTTACATCTACCACCCAGCTTTGAGGGGGGGGAGTGTGAGAGTACGCCGACGTTCTACATATTCTCATTTCTATATCTTTATCTTGTTCTCCTTCTTTTCCTCTTTCATTTGCACTTTATTTCACCTCAATCGGACTACTATTCTACTTTCTAGAGCTTTCCGATCATTTCACTTATTTTGTATTTTCGGCACCGACATTTACATTATACGGCACCGACTACACCGACGGTGGTGTACAAGGCGTAATCCTGCCATAATCTAATGTGCCAATGGGCTTGCATGCTTATGCGCACTTGTGATTATCTATTCTAGAAGAGCGTGTTCCCGAAGTTTCAGATTATCTTTTTTGTCTATGTATTTCCGAGTATAAATACGCCTTGTACTCACCTTTAGTGCAACATTCTCAAGTGGAAATTCGATCCTGTGACAGTTCTTGGGGTTGAACATCACCTACGTGCCAGAAGCAAATCATCTGTCAGCCTCCAAGTGCACAGAACAACTGGGATAACGCTTCAAGATTACGCCCGCACCACTCTCAACTCCTTACCGCACCCCAAGCACCAACTACGAACCGAACAACAAACCTCTGTCGTTCGTAGGACTCCAACTGTACCAGCAGCAACTGGGGTGCCTGCTATTCGCCTCAGTCACCTGCCAACCCGACCTTTCGTACATTGCTAGCCAATTGGCATAGAACTCCTACAAGCCAGTAGCTGGAAACCAACTGGACCTGGAGTGCGCCCTACAGTACTTCATCTCCACACCTGACATCGGGCTCTCCTACTCCACACTGACTACAACATCCTTCAACCTCACTGACTACGTATGCATCTCATGCAGCTGACCCTGCCAATCGACAGTCACGAACCGGCTTCGTCTTCCGCCTGTAACCAACGGGCCCAATCTCCTGGAATTCGCAGAAGCAAGAGCTGGTTGCCCTGTCATCAGCTGAAGCAAAATACATCGCTGCAACAGTTGCAATCCGCGAAGGAATTTACCTACAAGAGCTATTGTAGGAGGCGAAAATCCCAACTTCACCAACCTTCCGCCTCCACTCCGACAACCAGAGCGCCATCAAGATCGCGAAAAAACTGGGGTTCGTCAACCATACGAAGCACATCGCGCTTCGGTACTTTTTCGTCAAGGACGAAATTGACCAGGGCAAGGTTGACCTCGCGTACTGCTCTACCACTGAAATGGTAGCCAAATTCCTCACCACGTTACGTCAGGAGTACAAGCACTGCTCCAACCTCACTCGAATAGTCAAGCGAGTCAGCTCCCAGAACGCCCAGGAATGAAGGGGTGTGTTGAGATATGAAACGTTATGAGAAAGCATTCTTGTACGATACAGGAGCCGACTCTATGGAGAACGAAGTCGTGGAGTCAGAAGAGTCAAAGCAACACTAGCAACCGTCAGATCTTGACCGATGCAGGCAGAAACACTTCCAAATAAAAAGAGCGGGAACAGTTTCGAAACAAATTCGCTGCAGTAAGGGAATGTACCCCTTAGAGTACATGGCTAGTCTAGGACTTTTACGCATTCCTTGTATCTTCTACATAAACTCGATGCATGCATGTCTTTATCATATAAGTCATTTTAAATTCACTCTGACCTGAGGTCAATGCTTCCACTGCAACACTACCTGCGAACAACCTTGAGCCGATCCCAGACTAATTCCTTTTTAGGATTGTAATAGGCGCCTATCCCTGTTTTTCGTATTGATGTCTTTTTTCATCGATTCATACTATTGCAATTGGATTTTTTACAATGACTCTTTCTTTCCTCTTTTACTGCAATCGATTATATTGAATTAGGATAGGCTCTGAAGGCCACGGTTGGTTTGAAATGTGGAAAGCGAAAGGGGATGGGGTGGAAGAGAATATTTATGCGTTTAAAGCGTTTATCACATTGTGAAAGTGAAGCAGATTGTAACGCAATTTTTGAGTTAAGGCAGAAGGGCATTAAAACAAAGCAGCCCATCAAGATAGAGCAGCCCGAGGGGCCGGGCTTTTGAGTGAACGGATACGCTGTGGAGTGGCAGAAGGTGGGTGGAAAGCAGGGACGTGGTAAATGAACTCCAGTGGGGCTATTTGGAAATGTCAAGGATCTAGCTTTGGGGCGGACAGGGGGGGCGTGGACTGCTGTGACTTGAAGCCCATCAAAATAAAGCAGCCCGAGGGGCTGAGCTTCCGAGTGAATGGATACGCTGTGGAGTGGCAGAAGGTGGGTGGAAAAGTGGGATAGGATGGGGAAGGACAGGGGGGCGTGGACCGCTGCGACTTGAAGCCCATTAGAACAGAGCAGCCCGAGGGGCCGAGCTTTCGAGTGAATGGAAACGCCGTGGAGTGGCAGAAGGTGGGTGACAAGGGGGGATGCTGAGGGGTTGGATATGGTGGGGAGTGGTGGGAAGCGTTGAGGGGGTAGAATGCGAAGAGGCATTACTTCAGAGTGTGGGGAGATGCCGTGTAGTGGCTGAAGGTTGGTGGAAGAGAGGAGAAGGTGAGTGAATGGAGTGCGGACGAGTGGTGGTTTGACGATAGGCTGGAGAGTCTCCGTGCAGTGGCTGAAGGCAGGTGGAAGTGGGTGTCACGTGCTTCCTCTTGAAATGAGTCTTGTTTTGAGTCGACTCAAAACACGACTCATTTCACGTGGTGGTTGGACCACTGGCCGGGGAGACGTCGTGGAGTGGCTAAAGGTAGGTGGAAGTGGGTCTCACTTGCTGCCTTTTCACCCTTGTCCTTTTGCCACTGGTCCCGCCCCACCTCTCTCTCTCTTTCTTCCTCTTCTCGTCGTCCAATGGAGTTTCCTGGTGGGGTTCATGCCTAAAGAGGGCTTGGTGCTGCACGCCCTGGTGTACGACGACGGCAGCAGTGGCAAGAGAGGCACTTACCTCCTACCCCTTACCCCCTTTTCCCTCCCTGCTCCCCCTTCCCTTCCAGTGGAGTTTCTGGGTGGGATTCACACCAAAAGAAGGCCTGGTGCTGCTTTGGCATACAACGATAGCAGCAGCGGCAGGAGGGGCATTGCATACCGGCTGAGTGTATGTGAGATGGTGGTGCCGTATGGCGACCCCCACGAGCGCCACTTCACTCCCCTTACTCTCCTCCCGTCCTCCATTTTTCTATCCCTTTCCCCCTTCCACTCTCTCCCCTACTCCCCCCAAATGCCCGCCTTCTCCTTCCCCTGCTCCTTGTTTTTCCAGTGGAGTTTCTGAGTAGGTTTTACACCTAGAGAAGGCCTGGTGCTGCACTCACTAGCCTACGACGACAGCAGCAGTGGCAGGAGGGGCGTTGCGCACCGGCTGAGCTTCTGTGAGATGGTGGTGCCCTATGGCGACCCCCACGAGCCCCACTACTGCAAAAACGCCTTCGATGCCGGCGAGGATGGGCTGGGCAGGAACGCACACTCTTTAAAGAAGGTGCGTGGGTATGGGCAAGGAGAGAGAAGCAAGGGAGGGAGGACGGGCTGGGGAAGAATGCCCACTGTCTGAAGAAGGTGCGTGCTGTTAGAAGAGGTGGTGGTGTTGCAGTGTGTGGGTTTGCTGGTGGGGTTGCTGGTTGGGGATGGTGGTGGGGGGGTTCCTGTCGGGTTGCTGTGGAGATGCTGGTGGGGGATGCTGGTGGGGTCACTTGAAGGGCTGTGACTGCCTGGGGTTGATCCGCTACATTGACGAGCACATGATGAGCAACTTCCTCACCTAGCTTCCTGGTTTTGCTTTCCACCTCCACAATACCTTCCCCTCCCCCATTCCCCATCCGTCCATACCCCCCAGGGCTATGACTGTCTGGACTTCATCCGCTACTTCGACACACACATGAGCAACTTCATCGGAGGGGTGGAGACGATAGAGAAAGGGCTCTCCCATACCCCACCCCCCTATCCCCACCAGGGCTGCAATTGTTTAGGCTTCATCCGCTACCTTGATGCACACATGAGAAACCTCCTGGGTGGCGTTGAGACGATAGAGAACGAACTTACCACCACCACCACCGCCTTTTTATTTCCTATTGCCTTCCTCCCTATCCCCACCAGGGCTGCAATTTTTTGGCCTTCAACCGCTACTTTGATGCACACATGAGCAACTTCATCGGCGGGGTGGAGACGGTAGAGAGCGCGCTCTCCCTCCCATGCCCCACCCCCCAACCCCCACCAGGGCTGTGACTGTCTGGGCCTCATCCGCTACTCCTTTCTCATTTCCCCACCCTCCACTCTCCCCAGGCCTGCGATTGTCTGGGCTTCATCCGCTACTTCGATGCGCACATGAGCAACTTTCTCGGCGGCGTCGAGACGATAGAGAACGCCGTGTGCATGCATGAGGAGGAATATGGCATGCTCTGGAAGCACGTGGACTGGTGCTCGAGACACGCTGAAGTGAGGCGATCAAGAAGGCTCGTGCTGTCGTTTCTCTGTACGATTGGGAATTACGACTATGGCTTCTTCTGGTATCTCTACCAGGTAGGTTCTTTTTGTTTTGAGTCCCATCACTGTGATTCTGTCAGTTGAGAGCTCTCACCCATTGGTGAGCATCCGCTTTTGTGTGCATGATAGGGATCTAGCATCGGTGCTTCTACTGGTGCTAGGGCTGTATGCATGCTCCTATCCGCCCCCTAAATTCCTTAACTCCCCCTCCCACTCACTCAACATGCTCTCCCTTAATATCCCTACTCCCCCTCCTCCTCAACATGCTCTGCTCTCCATTATTGCCTCTGTCTCTTGTCCCTCTTTTGCTTCTCCCTCACTGCAGGACGGCAAGATCGAGGCTCAAATCAAGCTGACGGGGATCTAATCAGTGGGAGCGTTGAGGGAGGGCGAGGAGAGGAGGTACGACACGTTGCTGGCACCGTGGCTGTACGCTCCCATCCACCCCTCTCATTCCTCCACTCCCCCCATTCATCCCACTCCCCCCAGTCCCCTACTCTCTCCACTGCCCTCTCATTTCTCCTCCCCCCTCCCCTTCCTCCTCTGCTCTCTCTCCACTCTTCCACACCACAAGATGGCAAGATCGAAGCGCAAGTAAAGCTGACGGGCATTCTGTCGGTGGGCACTCTGAGGGAGGGCGAGGAGAGGAGGTACGGGACGTTGCTGGCGCCAGGGCTGTATGCTCCTATTCACCAGCACTTCTTTGTGGCTCGCATGGACATGGCTGTGGACTGCCGCCCGGGGGAGGCGGCTAATCAAGTGAGGACTATTGAGGCACATGGTAAGGGGGGGCGCCTTTGCATCCAATGCTGGTGCTTGCACACACCCCATCTGTCCACCAGCACTTCTTTGTGGCTCGCATGGGCATGGCTGTAGACTGCCACCCGGGCGAGCAGGCTAACCAGGTACAGAGAGGGTGGGAGAGGGGAATACAATGGAGGGATGTGGTTGAGGTGCCCTGTGCCCTTGGCTGTGGACTGCCGGCCAGGGGAGCAGGCTAACCAGGTGAGGGCTACCAGGATACACCGGGTGCTTCTAGCACCTGGCCTCCCTGCCCCCATCCATCCATCCATCCATCCATCCACCAGCTCTTCTTCGTGGCTCGCATGGACATAGCATGGCTGTGGGCTGGAGAGGCAGGGCACAGCCGACGGGAAGGCTTGCACCTTCCCACCCCTTTTTCCACCACCCCCCTACATCAAGTGGTGGAAGTGAACGTGAGGGCGGAGAAGCAGGGCACAGCACAGCCCACGCGAGCATGGGCCATGATGTTTTGAGTCGATTAAAAAACGCGAGCATGGGCCATGTTCCCTCAAGATGCGGTCATTCCTTGCCTCTCCCCCCCTCTTTCTGCCCCATGACCCTACAGCAGGTGGTGGAGGTGAGCGTGAGGGCAGAAGGGGCAGGCCCGCACAACCCCCATGCAGCCATGCTTCCTTGGGGTACCATTATTCCCTGCCCCCACCCCCCTCCCCCCTCCCACCCGTCCCCCCTACATCGCGTGGTGGACGTGAACGTGAGGGCGGACTGAGAGGGCCCGTACAACCTGCATGCAGCCATGTTCCCTTCGGGTACCATTATTCCCTGCCCCCACCCCCCTCCCCCCTCCCACCTGTCCCCCCTACATCACGTGGTGGACGTGAACGTGAGGGCGGACTGAGAGGGCCCGTACAACCTGCATGCAGCCATGTTCCCTTGGGGTACCATTATTCCCTGCCCCCACCCCCCTCCCCCCTCCCACCCGTCCCCCCTACATCACGTGGTGGACGTGAACGTGAGGGCGGACTGAGAGGGCCCGTACAACCTGCATGCGAATGCGTTTTCTCCCCTTCCCCCACCCATCCAACCACACATCCACCCACGCAACCACCCACAAAGCTGTCTCCTCACATCCACCTAATCATGCAGTTATTCCTTGCCGCTGCCCACCTCCCCCTGCCCACCTCCCCCTGCCCACCTCCCCCTGCCCACCCCCCCCTGCCCACCTTCCCCTGCCCACCCCCCCCTGCCCACCTCCCCCTGCCCACCTCCCCCTGCCCACCTCCCCCTGCCCACCTTCCCCTGCCCACTCCCCCCTGCCCACCTCCCCCTGCCCACCTCCCCCTGCCCACCTCCCCCTGCCCACCTCCCCCTGCCTACCTCCCCCTGCCCACCTCCCCCTGCCCACCTCCCCCTGCATGCGGGATGTGAATTCCCTCTCTTCTCGCCACTGGCTGGTGCGTGCGTGGTGGAACTGTGTTTGGGAGAGAGGCAGTTTGAGGTTCCTCACACAACCCCCATGCGAATGCCTTCTATGCGGAGGAGAAGGTGCTTTGGACAAAGGGCGAGGGCATGCGGGATGTGAATCCCCTCTCTGCTCGCCACTGGCTGGTGCGTGGGCCAGGGAGGGAGGGAAGGAGTGCCTGGTAGAGTGAGTGAGGGAGTGAACAGAGGAGTGAGGGAAGAGTGAGCGGGTGACTGGAGCGAGTGAAGGGATTCAGCAGGATTGACACGCTGTGTGTGTATCCACACCCTGTCGCCACATTCCTTAATTTCCTACCTTGAATGCATTTTCTGAATTCTGTGAGTCAGGTGTGCCTTTGAAATGACATTCCGCTATGGTGCTTGTTCTCCATTGTTTTTTCACTTCTACCATTTTCCCGATTTGACCATGTCTTTGTGGGGCACATCTTCCTTCATCTTCACACACACGGGCAGATCAGAAACACTCGGGCAGTCAACAGGGCTGGTCGTCCAACCGCCTACAAGCTCATGCCAGGGACCAACTGCCTGCCCCTCGCGTTGCCCGGGGCGAAATTTCTCCGCCGGGCAGCTTTCCTGAAGCACAACCTGTGGGTCACGCCGTACCACCCGGAGGAACGGTTTCCTGGCAGCGAGTTCCCGAACCAGAACCCCAGGGTTGGCGATGGGCTGCCTTTGTGGGTGCAGCGGAACAGATCAATCAACAATGCTGATGTGGTGCTTTGGTCAGTGATGCTCTGGTAAGTGATGCTTAGGTAAGTGGTGGTGTGGTGAGCGATGCTTCTTTAATTGGCGAGTACCAAGTTAGTGTTATGACACTTTGTTAAGACGCTCCTCCTCACCACCAGTACCGACATCATTGCTTGTTATCTCTTTCATTTTGCCTCTATACCCGAACCCTAGAGGCTTGGTCAATCGAGTTACCCTTAAGAGTGTGTCCTAGTCCTAAAATCACCCTAAAGGTTTGTCAATCAAGAGGTATAACAATAGCTTCCTCCCCTTGTTTTCTGCTCCCAACATCCCGTGCTCACCCCCTTGTGCTGTGAAGGTACGTGTTTGGACTCACCCACGTGCCAAGGCTGGAGGATTGGCCAGTCATGCCCTGCGAATACATCAGCTTCAGCCTCCTGGTGAGTGACTAGTTTGCTCGTGGTGAGTAGTTCATGGGGAGTCGGGGCTTGTGTGGCGTCAACTAGACTGACCCACGTGCCGAGGCTGGAGGATTGGCCAGTCATGCCGTGTGAATACATTGGCTTCAGGCTTCTGCTGAGTGACTGGGTTGCTCTGATAGGGAGTTGGTGGCTTGTGAGGCACTTCAAAGGTACGTGTTTGAACTGACTCACGTGCCGAGAATAGAGGATTGGGACACGCCATGCGAAAAACATTGGCTTCTGGCTCATGGGGAGTAGGAGAATACATGCTTGGAATCACCCTAAGACAAGGAGGATTGGCATGTCATGCCATGCGAGTGCATGGGATTCTACGTCATGGTGAGCTGGTGGGTTGTTTATATTTTGTCAAATGCAATATTCAAAGCACAAATCGTACACGATAGTAACATATCTGCATGGTGAACCGGTATCTTGCATTTCCATAGTATGAAAATTTATTGCCCTAACACCATTCTTTCCCTTCACTCTTATGCCACCTCCCTCCATTCTATGTGTGCAGCCACATGGATTTTTCAATGTATCACCTGCGATTGATGTTCCTCCCTCTAAACCTGAAATCTCAGATATCATAACTTTTGTCTCGACAGCTAGCATTGAACATAACAAAAACGACTGTCGCATCAGAATACCTGACTCAAAGCTCTAAGTACGGTATGTGCTTTTATCAAAGTTGAGATCCACCAGGTTAAATTTCTGTTCTAAAGTCAAGGTGCGATGAGTTTGAGCTAGCTCAACGTGATCTGTACCCAGGATCCTTATACAGCGTACGAGCACGTCCGCTTCATATAGGTTCTGTCGGGTGCAAGAGTCCATTGCGGTCAACATCAGGAGCGTGGAACATCCAATGAGAGACCAGATATTCAGAGCTCCCCCATTTGAAGCATACCCTTTAGAAGCCAACCTGACACTCCATCCCAACCTCTCCCGCCAGCAACGCAGAGACAACACCCAAACCGCCAAAATCGAGACCGTTCTCTGTTGCTTCGGAACAGCCAGAGGCCTGCAGAATCAAAACTGAATCAGACAAAAAGAAACTGAAACGAACGGAACAAATAGGAAGAATGAACAGACATTGAGACTACCAGTGCTTGTTACTTGCGTTTCAACTGACGCGAAATGCGACCTTGAAGGAGCAGCTTTGATGTTCATCGATGTTGGTGCTCGAGTTGTTCGAAACAGTGAGCAGGAAAGACTTTTTACCAACAGCTCTCAACTTCATATTGCCACACCTTCAAGCTCGGTATTACGATTTAGTTTACATAGACGCTGGTCTGCGACGCGGGATCACAGGTGTCTAATAAGACTGTGCTCTTGCCTTCAACCGAGTTTTTACAGTTTACAGAAGGAAATACTAACAGTGCCTACTGGCGACATGGCGAGTACTTAGTGACAGGTCCAGTTGTGGCGTTTAATCCTCTCGCGTCCAGTCGTAACGTGTAATCCTGTCGCGTATCTTGACATGCCGTTACGAACATGAGATGTTAGGAATAGAAGCTTCTCCTATATCAATCAATCTGCCTAACCACTAAATCACTTCGCGACGCGGCGCTACTGAAAAAAGAGTAATATAGCACGAACAAACGGTCCTGTGGATATCCTTTATAGCCTCCTCAGAAAAGAGCCAGCTAGTGACCCAATAGCCCTATTCGGTCGTCTCAGTCAACCTCCAAGTGCTCTCTCGTGTATCCCTATCAACCTCTGCCACGTGGCGTAGGTGGCAGAGCTGGCCTGGCGCAATCTGATTGGTCCTAGCGGCGTTCAGACGGGTGTGGGAATCCTTTCGTAAACAAGAGCTTGACTCATATCTTTGCGCGGATATATTGCGGAGACCCCAGCCACGCCTCGGCTTGCCAGCCATGTTGGATCAAATCGTGAACCTGGTCATCCGGCCTCCTCGGTACGCTTGTCGTTTTTGGCGTTGATAGAAGATATACCCGTTATCAGTAGACGCTTGCCAGCCATGTTGGATCAGATCGTGAACCTGGTCATCCGTCCTCCTCGGTACGATTTGTCGTTTCTGGCTTCGATAAAATATTTACCCGTTATGAGCAGCCACGCTTTGGCTTGTCCGCCATGCTGGATCAAATCGTGAACCTTTTTATCGTCCTCCTCGCGACGGTGTGAAGTATACTCATTAATGGAATCCGCTTGCCAGCTCTATTGGGCCAGATCCTGAATCTGTCTAACCGGCCTTCTTGGAACGGTATGGAAGGTGCCGTTGGGTCAAACCTGTCTCAGCTTCTACCCTCCCTCGCTCCCTCCTCCCTCCCCATTTTCCTCCGCCCACCACCCCGTTCCCCCCTACCTCCCACAGTGCGGAGTATTCAGTACAGACAGACCTGGTGGGGCCGCTCTTTGCTCACAGGGGACTGTTGCGGCGCCTCAAGACCCGTCTCTTCCTCCGGCGCAACCCCTTACTTCTACTACCTTCCCTTCCCTGCTCCTCCTCTCCCTTCCGCGCAGTGCGGAGTATTCAGTACAGACAGACCTGGTGGGGCCGCTCTTTGCGCTCAGAGGAAGGCAATACCGCCGCCATGACCTTCAGGTGCGACTGTGGTGCTGCGGCGTTGATTTCAAAAGTGATACCAGTCGAGTACAGACAGACCTCGTGGGGCCGCTCTTTGCTCTCAGAGGAAGGCAATACCGCCGCCACGACCTTCAGGTGCGACTGTGGTGCTGCAGCGTTGATTTCAAAAGTGATATCAGTCGAGTACAGACAGACCTCGTGGGGCCGCTCTTTGCTCTCAGAGGAAGGCAATACTGCCACCACGACCTTCAGGTGCGACTGTGGTGCTGCAGCAGCAAATTCACTAGTGATACATCAGATTAACTCTCTACCGGGGATTCCAGACTTTTGAAGGCAATACTGCTGGCCGCCGCCACGACCTTCAGGTGCGACTGTGGTGCTACAGCAGCAAATTCACTAGTGATACTGGGTTAACTTTAGGGCTATCTATATTAGGAATACAGTCCGCTCCAGTCAGCCGCCGCCAATATCTGAAAACCCCATGCCAGTGCGTTTCTTTCTTCCTATCCCATGCTTACTCTCCCCCTCTCATCCCTTTTGAGTCGACTCAAAAATCATGCTTACCCTCCCCCTCTCATCCCTTTTGAGTAGACTCAAAAATCATGCTTACTCTCCCCCTCTCATCCCCCCCATCCCATCCCCCGCCCCCCTTCTCCCCTCTCCTTCCGCTCTCAGCTTGCAAACACCCGAGGTTACGTGCTAGAATGCAGTCACTATCAGCAAACACCACCCCTTCCTCTCCCCCACCCTCCGTTTCCCACCCTTCACCTCTCATCCTTCTCTCCCACCCAGCTCTCCCCCCTCCCAGCTTGTGAACACCTGAGGCCACCTGCAAGAATCTAGCTCCTATTGGCAAACAACCCCCTTTCCTCTACCCCCCTCCCTCTACCCCCCTCCCTCTCCCCCCCTCCCTCTCCCCCCCTCCCTCTACCCCCCTCCCTCTCCCCCCCTCCCTCTCCCCCCCTCCCTCTACCCTTCTCCCCCTCTCCCCCTCCCTCTCCCCACCCCCCTCTCCCACCTTTCACCACTCATCCTTCCCCGACCTCTCTTTCCCCCTCTCAGCTGGTAAATAGCAGAGGCCACGTGCTAGAATGCAGTCACTATTGGGCAAACCCCCTCCATCCCTCTCCCACCCTTCATCTCAAATCTCTTCCCCCCCCAACCCCCCCATCTTCTCCTCCCCCCTCTCCCCCTCCGCAGCTTGTAAATAGCAGAGGCCACGTACTAGAATGCAGTCACTACATGCAAAAACTCTTTTCCTCTCCCATCCTTCATTTCCCATAATCTCCCCCCCCCCCCCCCCTCTCCCCGCTCTCAGCTTGTAAATAGCCGAGGCCACGTACTAGAATGCAGTCACTACATGCCGGCCCACATCCCGCCCAATCAGAAGCTGCCATGTGTCATCTACTGCCATGGGAACAGGTGCGGCTGCTGCTTACTTGCTCTTGTTTGTTTTCAGTCCAGATTCTGCCGCCCAAAATCTGTTGTCCAGATTCTGCCATCCAGATTCTGCCCTCCAGATTTTCTTCTCCCCATCATCGCATTGTCGCCAACCCATGTTACCAGTCTCTTAGACCTCTCCTCCTCCCTTGCCCCCACCCTTTTATTCTCCTCCTCCTCCCTTGCCCCCACCCTTTTATTCTCCTCCTCCTCCCTTGTCCCCACCCTTTTATTCTCCTCCTCCTCCCTTGCCCCCACCCTTTTATTCTCCTCCTCCTCCCTTGCCCCCACCCTTTTATTCTCCTCCTCCTCCCTTGCCCCCACCCTTTTATTCTCCTCCTCCTCCCTTGCCCCCACCCTTTTATTCTCCTCCTCCTCCCTTGCCCCCACCTTTTATTCTCCTCCTCCTCCCTTGCCCCCACCCTTTTATTCTCCTCCTCCCTTGCCCCCACCCTTTTATTCTCCTCCTCCTCCCTTGCCTCCACCCTTTATTCCGCCATTGCCTGATTCTCCTTCTCCAACCACTGGCTGCCGTGCTGACGCCAGTGAAGCCGTATGTCTGCCAGGGCGATAAGATGGGGTAGCCGTTTCTTTCCATCATGGCTACCCCATCTTATCACCCTGTTCGTCCCCTACTCCTCCCCTTCCCCCACCCTCTTTTCCGCCACCCCTCGCCCCCCCCGCCCCCACACCAGTGGGTGTCGTGTTGATGCCAGTGAAGCCGAGTTTGTGCTCCTGCCTTCCAACATCACAATCTTTGCCCAATCCTTACCCCTTCTTCACCTTACCCCTTCTTCACCCTCCCCCCTCTTCCCTTTCCCCCGCCCTCTGCCTGTCGTCTCCCACTATTGGCCCCACTCCAGTGGGTGTCGTGGTGACGCCAGTGAAGCGGTGTTTGTACTCCTGCCTTCCAACATCACATCCCCCTTCACTCTCTTCCTCTCTTTCCCTCCCCCCCTTTCTCTGCAGTGGCTGCCGTGCTGACGCCAGCGAAGCATTGTTTGTGCTGCTTCTTTCCAAGCCCCCCACCCTCTACCACCCACCCAACTATCTCTTCCACCCACCAGTGGCTGCCGTGCCGACGCCAGTGAATCAGTGTTTGTGCTGCTTCCATCCAACATCACAGTCTCATCAGATCCCTTGTTTTCATTATACCTTCCCCCGCCCTCATCAGTGGCTGCCGTGCTGACGCCAGTGAAGCAGTGTTTGTGCTGCTCCCATCAAACATCACAGTCTTTGCTCTCGACTTCTCAGGCTCGGGAATGTCCCAAGGGGACTATGTCACGCTGGGGAGATTCGAGGTACGAAGAGGGTGTTTTTCAGTGAGTTGTAAATGCGTATCATGTATCGTTTGAGGTCCAAGCCGTGTTTGTGCTGCTTCCTTCCAACATCACCGTCTGTGCGCTCGACTTCTCGGGCTCAGGCATGTCCCATCCCAAGGGGACTATGTCACGCTGGGGAGATTCGAGGTACGAAGAAGAATTCTGTTCTGTATGAGGGTCGTTGAACCTACCGGGAAGACGAGGGTACATGGCATGTGTGTATCCTGCCTCCCAGCCAACATCACCTCCTTTGCTCTCGACTTCTCGGGCTCCGGCATGTCCCAAGGGGACTTATGTGCGCATTACGAGGTGACTTTTGAGTCGAATCAAAAGTCATCTCGGGCTCCGGCATGTCCCGAGGGGACTTGCGTTCGTATTACGAGCAGCAGTGGTAACCTTCTAGACAAGCGTCCGTGATGGTCTTTCCAACGATAGTCAAGATTTTCCTCCTACGACCAGACAACTTAAGACATACGTTCCGAGTGGCTTCACATTTCGAATACTCGGGGTCAATCAATCAAAGCGCTAACTCGCCAGCTTCATCCAAACGTTTTCTATTGACCACGTTCCGTTTATGTTAAATTTCACGGTAAACGATGTGTTTTTTTCATTTACTAGGTCCTCTTCTTGAGTTATGATATTTTGCAGCTGTGAGGAGGATTCGGAGAGCTCGCTAGTCTCTGGGTGCTTCATTTGTGCAAAACTCAAAGCCGTGTGTATCCTGCCTGACATTTAACATTACCGTCTTTGTACTCGACTTCTTGGGCTTGGGGAGTTCCAAGGGGGCTATGCCCCTTCTTCTTCTGACAATTCTGATGTTACTTTTGAGAATTCTGGTGTTGCTTTTGCGAATCCTGGTGTTATTTTTTAGAATTCTCAAAAGTAGCATCTCTCGAGGCTGGACTACTCTGCTCAGGGATGTCCCAAGGGGACTATGCCCCTTCTTCTCAGCCTCTCTCATCTCTCTCCCAACCTCTTGCGGCTGCTCTACTGTCCCCCTCTCCCTCTTCTCCTGCTTTCCTTCTGTGATGGATCATCTAAGAGCGGAAGGCAGCGTGTTGCTCATCATCCCACGTTCTTGCTTTACTTCTTCCCGCCTCTCCCTTGCTCTACGGTGTTGCTGCGTCTCTGCGTCTCTGCGTCTCTGTGTCTCTGCATCTCGCCCTGCAGATGGAGGATCTTACTACTGTGGTGGATCATCTAAGAGCGGAAGGCAGTGTGTCGCTCATAGGCCTGTGGGGGCGGTCGATGGGAGCTGTGACCTCGTGAGTTTCTTCCAAAGGGGTGGGGAGGGGGAGGCATGAGGAGGGGGTTCTTGTGGGGTTGCTGCTGCCTCTTGTAGCACAGAAAAACAGTTTCGAGAATTCTCAAAAAAGGCATGAGGAGGGGGTTCTTGTGGGGTTGCTGCTGCCTCTTGTAGCACAGAAAAACAGTTTCGAGAATTCTCAAAAAAGGCATGAGGAGGGGGTTCTTGTGGGGTTGCTGCTGCCTCTTGTAGCACAGAAAAACAGTTTCGAGAATTCTCAAAAAAGGCATGAGGAGGGGGTTCTTGTGGGGTTGCTGCTGCCTCTTGTAGCACAGAAAAACAGTTTCGAGAATTCTCAAAAAAGGCATGAGGAGGGGGTTCTTGTGGGGTTGCTGCTGCTGCCTCTGACCTCGAGGGCTTCGTGTCGCTCGTAGGGCTGTGGGTGCGATCCATGGGGGCGATCCATGGGGGCGATCCATGGGGGCGATCCATGGGGGCGATCCATGGGGGCGATCCATGGGGGCGATCCATGGGGGCGATCCATGGGGGCGATCCATTCACCTCGAAAGTGGCATGGGTGGGAAGATGTGAAGGGGCAAAGGGGCAATGGGAGGAGAGAGAGGCGTGGAGGGGAGAGGTGGAGGGCACTCTGTTGCTCATAGGGCTGTGGGGGTGGTTCATGGGAGCTGTGGGGGCGGTTCATGGGAGCTGTGGGGGCGGTTCATGGGAGCTGTGGGGGCGGTTCATGGGGGCTGTGACCTCGGGAGTGGTGGGGATGGGAAGAGTGGAATGGGGCGAAGCAGCATTGGGTAGGGGGGAGGCAGAGAATCGAGAGGTGGAGGGCACTGTGTTGCTCATAGGGCTGTGGGGGCGGTTCATGGGAGCTGTCACCTCGTGACATGAGTGACGAAAGAAGGGAGAATGCGGAGGTGGTTGCGAGCGCAGGAAGTGGTCATTCATGGTTAGGAAGGGCAGCAGTGCTAGGAAAAAGCTTTAGCAAGTAAAGAAAGAGAGTTTTTTAAACCTTTGCTAAGAGAAATCTTGAGCGCAAAATCTTGAGTGACGAAAGGAGGGAGAGTGCGGTGCGGAGGTGGTTGCGAGCGCAGGAAGTGGGTTGAGGCAGAGAAGAAGGGGAAAGCGCTTAGGGCTCTGCGTTGCTTAGGGCTCTGCGTTGATTAGGGCTCTGCGTTGCTTAGGGTTCTGCGTTGCTTAGGGCTCTCCATTGCTAGGGCTCTGCGTTGCTTAGGGCTGTGCGTTGCTTAGGGCTCTGCAGTGCTTAGGGCTCTGCATTGCTAGGGCTCTGCGTTGCTTAGGGCTCTGCGTTGCTTAGGGCTCTGCGTTGCTAGGGCTCTGCGTTGCTTAGGGCTCTGCATTGCTTAGGGCTCTGCATTGCTTAGGGCTCTGCGTTGCTTAGGGCTCTGCGTTGCTTAGGGCTCTGCGTTGCTTAGGGCTCTGCGTTGCTTAGGGCTCTGCGTTGCTTAGGGCTCTGCATTGCTTAGGGCTCTGCGTTGCTTAGGGCTCTGCGTTGCTTAGGGTTCTGCATTGCCTAGGGCTCTGCGTTGCTTAGGGCTCTGCGTTGCTTAGGGTTCTGCATTGCCTAGGGCTCTGCGTTGCTTAGGGCTCTGCGTTGCTTAGGGCTCTGCGTTGCTTAGGGCTCTGCATTGCTTAGGGCTCTGCATTGCTTAGGGCTCTGCGTTGCTTAGGGCTCTGCGTTACTTAGGGCTCTGCGTTGCTTAGGGCTCTGCGTTGCTTAGGGCTCTGCGTTGCTTAGGGCTCTGCGTTGCTTAGGGCTCTGCATTGCTTAGGGCTCTGCGTTGCTTAGGGCTCTGCGTTGCTTAGGGCTCTGCGTTGCTTAGGGCTCTGCATTGCTTAGGGCTCTGCGTTGCTTAGGGCTCTGCGTTGCTTAGGGTTCTGCATTGCCTAGGGCTCTGCGTTGCTTAGGGCTCTGCATTGCTTAGGGCTCTGCGTTGCTTAGGGCTCTGCGTTGCTTAGGGCTCTGCATTGCTTAGGGCTCTGCGTTGCTTAGGGCTCTGCGTTGCTTAGGGCTCTGCGTTGCTTAGGGCTCTGCATTGCTTAGGGCTCTGCGTTGCTTAGGGCTCTGCGTTGCTTAGGGTTCTGCATTGCCTAGGGCTCTGCGTTGCTTAGGGCTCTGCGTTGCTTAGGGCTCTGCGTTGCTTAGGGCTCTGCGTTGCTTAGGGCGCTTAGAGGAAATCCATGAGGGTTGGGTGCATGAAGGGCAAGCCTCCCCCTCTTTTCCTTGGTGTGTCACCACCTTCCTCCTCCTCTCCTCTTGTCCACTATGTTGTCCCCCCCCACCCACCTACTGCATCACTGATTTTCCCAGCATACCATTCCAGGCTCATGTACGCAGCAAAGGATCTGTCTATAGCAGGGATGGTGCTGGACTTAGTTGCAAAAGACGCGTCCTGCGTCTAAGACGTTGGCGTCCAGACGCAGCGACTTAGACGCAGGACGCTTCATGAGAGCCTGGGAGACGCTGAAAAAGACACATGCCCGGGCAGGGCAAAAAAAACCACCGGGCAGCCAAAAAAACCATGTTATAGGGCATGGGAAGGGGCGGGGGAACGACGTTGCGCACATTTGAGGCAAAATTGTCCCCTTCAATTTTTCAGGGTTCAGGGTTTACGAAGGAGAATTGTGTTGGTAAACCCACTAGGGTGTTTTTGATGGTCGAAATGGATTAGGGGGGGTCGACATGACGCGAAATTGACAGTCGCGTCGAAATCGCGAATGTCAATTTCGCGCTGGGGCAAAACAAAAAAAATCGGTCAGCCCCAAAAAAAAAAAAACCGCCGTGCGTCCTGCGTCTGGACGCGCGTCCAGCGTCCCTGTGTCCGGACGCTGCGTCCAGACGCAGGACGCATGACGCGCCCAGCGTCTTTTGCAACTAAGGTGCTGGACAGCACATTATTATTAATCCTCTCTCTCCGCTCCCCGCCCTCCTCCCCTTTCCCGTTTTTCCCCCTGTTTGTTGGTTTTTCCCACGTTCCCTGTCCAGGCTCATGTACGCGGCAAAGGATCTGTCTATAGCGGGGATGGTGCTGGACAGCCCGTTTTCCAACCTGCCCAACCTCATTCTGGAGCTCGTGGACACCTTCAAAATCAAGCTGCCCAAATTCACGGTCAGTTGGAAAAATTTGCCAGTTGAGTTCATCATGGTGTTTGTTTGTTTGTGTGCTTGTTTGTTAAAGAAACAAAAATTTGCTTCTTGAGGCGCCCCGGCCAAGCAACATAGGTGATGTTACTGTTGAGAAATCTCAAAAATAACATCCCTCGCAAAGATGCATAGGTGCGAGTAAGTGAGGTGGTGGCATATGCCTCTTTGCATAGACCTTTGCTGATGAAGGCCTTTGCTGGCCGAAACGCGTTCGCACACGCATCCAGGCCTATGTGTCTGGCTTTCTGATTAGTAGACCTTTTCTTACTACCCTCGCCTTTCAGATTAGTAGACTAGTGCTATAGCTCGTTACTCTTAGCAGGCTTGCTGCGTCTCAACCCATCGAATCTCAACGGGGATGGGATGGGATAAGGGCAATCCGCCGCGCCTAAAATAAACCCCCTCGACGTGACCTATTGGGTAGGGAGGCGTTATACCACGTGCGGATTATACAAGCAACCGCCCACGGCCGACATGCGAGGTGTCCCACAAGGCACTCACCTCACCTTCAGCCCCGACGACTCTGCCACTTCACCTGAATTGCCTTGGGGCCACCGCCGCCGTCGCGGCGTGTGCTGCTTTGCCCCGCTTGGGCTTGCGCTGCTTCGACTTCGCCATTGGGAAATTGGGAAGCGTGCGATGGAAAATTGGCAGAGAAGGTGGTCACAAGCGGGAAGGTGGTCCCAAGCGGGAAGGTGGTCCCAAGCGGGAAGGTGGTCCCAAGCGGGAAGGTGGTCCCAAGCGGGAAGGTGGTCCCAAGCGGGAAGGTGGTCCCAAGCGGGAAGGTGGTCCCAAGCGGGAAGGTGGTCCCAAGCGGGAAGGCGGTCCCAAGCGGGGTCGCAACCGCACCTCTTATTACATTGCCAAGTCTTGTCCTTTGAAATCCTGGCTCAACCACCTAATTCTGATAGGGCTGAATAATCATGGGGTAAGTTGAAATATAGGTGGGTAACCAAGAGGGATATGTGGGACAAGCTGTTGCACTGCACGGCCCGTGGTTACCTTGCCGAAATGGGTTCGAAATTGAGGGAGTGGCTAACTAGGAGCAGGTCGCCCTCTCGCTGTTGTGACTGCTGCTGCTGCTTCAGCCAATGAGAGACCTACGGCGGATTTTCTTTCTTCTACGGCTCGCCCGCCCTCCCGCCCAACCACAGGACAGGTGAAGATGCTGGGCTGGTGTACTCCCTCCCTGCGGAATCGGAACAAGAGATAATACCGGATTTGAGGCGCCTCAAAACAAGAAAATACCGGATTTTGACATCAACGACCTGGAAGCTGTGGGAGTGGCACAGCGCAGCATCTTCACGCCCTCTCGGTGCTGTGACAGTGTGACTCCCGTGGCTGCGGTGCCACTGACTGAGTGTTTTTTGAGAAATCTCAAAAGCAATCTTCAAGCAGCTTCACGCCCTCTCGGTGCTGTGACAGTGTGACTTTTGAGTCGACTCAAAAGTCACCTCTTCACGCCCTCTCGGTGCTGTGACAGTGTGACTTTTGAGTCGACTCAAAAGTCACCTCTTCACGCCCTCTCGGTGCTGTGGCAGTGTGACTCCCGTGGCTCCTGTGGCTGTGGTGCCACTGACTGATCTCCTGCCTTGTTTTGACCGTTTGCCCCCTCCCCCTTCGCCCACAGGTGAAGATGCTGGTGTATTACCTTCGGAACTTGATCAAGAAGATTCCTGATTTCGACATCAACGACCTGGATGTGGCTTCATCCCCTCAGTGCTGTGACTCCTGCTGCTGCTTTACCGCTGGGCTCCTTGCCTCGCTTTTCCTGTTAGCGTTTTCCCACCACAGGTGGAGATGCACAGGTGTACTACTTGCGGTATCTAATCAAGAAGAAGATACCGGATGTCGACATCAACGACCTCGATGCTGTGGGAGTGGGTAATGGCAAAGCATCGACCTCGATGCACGCAGCAGCTTCATTTCATCCCCTCTCGGTGCTGTGCTGTGCTGTGACTCGTTTTTCTGCTGTACCACTGAGATCTTGCTTTGCCATTACCCCCTCCGTTCCCCCCGCACAGGTGAAGATGCTTGTTTATTACCTGCGGAATCTGATCAAGAAGAAGATACCTGATTTCGACATCAACGATCTAGATGCCGTGGGAGTGGCGAAGACCAGTTTCATTCCAGTGTTGTTCGGGCATGCTTCGGGAGACACGTTCATTCTGCCGCACCACTCGCAGCAAATACACGAGGCCTACGCGGTGGGTGTAGTGTGCATAGTGAGGTCAGATTCGGTTGTATGCGGTCTTATGCGTTTGTACATGGTTGTAAGTAACGAGGAGCAGCTTCATCCCGGTGCTGTTTGGACATGCACCTTCATTCTGTTCTGCCACACCACTTGCAGCAAATACACGAGGCCTATGCGATGGGTGCATGTGCATGTTGTTGTCTGGTCAGATTCGGTCGTATGCGGTCGTATGCGGTTGTATGCGGTCGTATGCGGCTGTATGCAGTCTCATGTATTGAGCAGCTTCTTCATCCCAGTGCTGTTTGGGCATGCCTCGGGGGACAACTTCATTCCCCCGCACCACTCACAGCAAATACACAAGGCCTATGCCGCTATGCGGTGTCTATGGGGGACAACTCCCACCGCCCCAACTTCTTCTACGACTCGGCTGCCATCTTCCTCCACAACGTGCTGCAGCCGCCCCCCATACAGGACCGATCAGGTTCAGGTTTTACGGTTTCGAGTGGCGATTTCAACAGTATGGTCCCCCATTCCCCCTCTGCCGCCTCTTCCCCTTCTCCCCCTCCCACCCCCCTGCTGTTTCCCAAGTGCAGGGTGACAAAAATCTCATTACTTTTGCGGGGACCACAACTCCCGCCGCCCCAACTTCTACTACGACTCGGCTGCCATCTTCCTGCACAATGTGCTGCAGCCACCCACTGCCCGTAGAGGAGCCTTTGGGTTCAGGGTTCATGGGTTAGGGTTTTGAGTAGCGATTTCAACGGCACGGTCCTCCACTGTCCCTCTTCCCCCTCTCCCCTCCCTCTCCCCTCCCCTTTCTCTCAGGGTGACAAGAATCTGATCACCTTTGCCGGGGACCACAACTCCCACCGCCCCAACTTCTTCTACGACTCGGCTGCCATCTTCCTTCACAACGTGCTGCAGCCACCCCCCATACAGGAACCCCCCGCCTCCTCCCTCTATAATCACATCCCTGGGGGGTCTGATGCGCAACAGCCAGTGCCGCGTGCTGCTTATGGTGGTGCTGCGCTCACTGCTGCTGCTGGTGCCGCTGCTGTTGGTGGTGCTGGTGGTGGTGGTGGTGGGGTATCAGGCAGGAGTACAAGAGCAGATGTCCCTCCAAGTGCTGACGAGTTGAACCCTCCACACACCACCTACCAGCGCCCACCCCCCCTTGCTGAGGTATGCAATGAACCTGGTGTTGCTTCTGTGAGTGCAACTTCCCCGTCACACACAGCACTGCCCTGCCTTCCCTGCCTGGCCTCCCTGCCTCCTCTCCGCTCCCCACTGTCACCATGTTCTCGGTGCAGTCGCCTAACAAGCTACTCAGCAGTAATGACTTGGCGCGCTTCATGCCTCAGTTTGCCTTCCCCCTCACACACAGCATTGCCGCTCCCTGCCCTGCCCGCCCTCCTCTCCCCTCCCTGCCTCCTCTCCCCTCCCTGCCTCCTCTCCCCTCCCTGCCTCCTCTCCCCTCCCTGCCTCCTCTCCCCTCCCTGCCTCCTCTCCCCTCCCTGCCTCCTCTCCTCTCCCCACCGGCATGTTCTCGGTGCAGTCGCCACACGAGCTACTGAGCACTGAGGACTTGGCGCGCTTCATGGCTCAGTCTGCCTCCCCCATCACACACAGCACTGCCCTCCCCGCCCTGCCTGGCCTCCCTGCCTCCTCTCCGCTCCCCACTGTCACCATGTTCTCGGTGCAGTCGCCACACGAGTTTCTCAGCAGTGAGGACTTGGCGCGCTTCATGGCTCAGTTTGGTGCCTCCGTGGGAGGGATTTGCGTTCTCCCTCACACACACCCCTGCCCTTCCTCTCTTCCCCTCCTTTCCTCTCCCCCCCCCCCACTGTCCTTCTCTTCCTGTGTGCAGTCGCCAGACGAGCTACTGAGCAGTGAGGAGTTGGCGCGCTTCATGGCACAGTTTGCTGCCTCCGTGCCACCTGGAGAAGAGGTGAGATTAGTGAAAAGAGGAGAGAGAGGAGAAGAGTTGAGGGATGGAACGAGAGGGGAGGGGTGAAATAGGAAGTGAGAGGGAGGACAAGATGTTTGCAACGAGGTTTTGAGTGAACGAGAGCTCAGCTTCGGGGTGACCCAAAACATTAGTGTTTGTGGCAATCTAAGAATTTTCTAAGAGTTTTGCCCTTGAGGGGAAATTAGAAGCTGGGAGAACAACTAGTAGTGGCATTCTTCACTTCTGAAATCACTTTTGAGAATTCTCAAAAGTTATTTCGAACAGCTAGTAGTGGCATTCTTCACTTCTGTACTGAATGTTTTTATATCTTGTTGTCTCCTTCTGAAGCATGTCAGAGGTGTTGCTTTTGTAACGTCCAACAGTCTTTTCCCAGTACTGAAATATCGTTTTACAACCCCCCACCTTTCCTTACCCTAAATCGTTTCAGCTTGCTCCCGGATTGGAAGATGGCTATGATGAGGATGAGGTGAGCAGATGACTTTCATGTTACCGTAAAATGCATGTCGATCCCGTTTACACCTCGCCGTTTTACCTCCTTCAATGTCCCCTTCATCAATACTCTCCCTTCCATCTGGTTTTGTTGAGCGGTAGGATGTCACGATTTTCCGTTCTTAAATTAATTTCATCTACTCGGAAATGTGTTCCGTCCTCCTTCCACCACCACCCCTTTCTTCCCCTGCCCCCCTTACAATCCCCCAATAATTACTGCTAACAGAAAAAAAAAAAAAGTAAATTTTGTCTCGATAGTCCCAGGTCTCAACCCATTCCACCTTTCTCCCATCCCGTTCTTTGTTGCTTTGTGCAGATGCTTCAACAAGCCATTGCCCTTTCCTTGCTCGATATACAAGATCAAGACGGTGGGTCCAGTGTTCATGGAACGAACTCTAGTAGATGATGACCATTATGCTGCCTGGTGGGTAGATAGCATGAATGGATGTACGTAGTACTGTACAGTATCGCGCATTTTTCTATTTGCAGGGATTGTCAATAAAAGAAGGAATGCTTTGCCCTTGATGTTTTGTTGTTCCTTGTTCATATGTGTTTTACATGTATGATGCCTAAAGCCATTCACCTGTTAGTAATCGCTGTATCGAAGCGAAGATCATTCTTGATTGACTCACCCCCACACCTCGTCACATAGGGCGCGAACTTTTTGCCACTTTCGAGAGTTTCGAGCTGGTCTATCAGGGCTGTGGCTTCCAGCGTTAGCGAATGGAGCGAAAGTGTTTGCGAATCATGTTACAAGTGAATCCGGAAGCAGTACGCTCGACTTGCACTTCAAACTGCCAGAACGACCACATCCCCAGTCTCCGCCATGTTTTACCGTTGTTCCCGGGGCTATGCTTGCTGAAAGCTATTAGGGCGCGTGTCTTTTGGTCTGAAGCTATATAAAAGGTTCAACTTTTGGCTGGTAGCCGTTTTCGTTAGATTCGTCAAAGGTTGTTAGTGAGGGTCGTGTGTCCAAATTTAGAGTTGATGATTTTGTAGGACACTGAACTGAGGTCGAATTTTGCGGCCACGTAAATCCAAATGTGTGATCTTCTGCTAGTGCCAGTGACTTTTCGAACTGCACGAAAGCAAAGAATGACATCATTCGGTGACGAACTATGCTTTCTAGGCAGGGTAACCTACGAAACCTAGGCACGACTCGGGATTTACTGTACAAAGTCGAACTGTGATAGTCGAACTTTGTTGTGCCAAGTGCTTGATGTGAAAGATTAGCTGCGATTTGACCACAAAATTTTCGATAGTCGACCACAGGTCGACCAGAGTTCAAACGTGAAAAGTTGAGCAAAAAAACATGAACGTCCATACACTCCAAAAGACACGCGCCCTTACAAGCATTACAGAATTCGACTTCGCTGTAGGCAATTTTTCTCAGGTTCAGCCTCGAGCCTCCTGACAGCTCGTTTTCGCTGGTCTCCTTCGCCAGGACCACTTTTTTTAGATGATTTAATCGTCACTATAGTGGTCTTAGCTGTAGGAGTGTTTGCCATAGACTTTCTTTACTACAAAGCACTTCGGTATAGACGTCTTCGCTTTACTCGATAGAGAATTCACGCTGTAGAGATTGTTGCTAGCTCTGCTACGAAGGTTCCGTCAGCATGGTGGGCGGGCCGGTGGTGAACATATACCCGTTAGAGAACTACTCGTTTGGCGTGAAGGAGCCCAAGATCGAAAAGGACACGTCCGTCGCGGATCGACTGGCGCGCATGAAACACAAGTGAGTGAGGGAGAAGGAGAGGGGGGAGGGAAGGAGGGGAGGTGGGGGGGGGGGGGGGGGGGGGGGGGGGGGGGGGGGGGGGGGTGGGGAGGGGAGGGGGGAATGAGAGAGTAGGGAACCTAAGGGGAGTTCACGGACACGTCCGTGGCGGGTCGTCTGGCGCGGATGAAACACAAGTGAGGGGGGAGGGGGAAGGGGGTATGGGGAAGGGGGAAAGGAGGAATGGGGGAAAGGAGGGCGGGGATGGGGGGTGGGGAAATGGTGAAGAATGTGGGGGGAGATGGGGGGGTGGGTGTGGGGGAGGGGGCGGGGAATGGAGGGCGATGGGGGAGGAGGTGGGATGAGGGGAGTTGGAGGGAACGAGAGAGTAGGAAAGAAGGGCTGAGGGAAGGAGAGTCAATGGCGGGCCGACTGGCGCGGATGAATTGCAAGTGAGAGAGAAGGGGGGGGGTGGGAAGGGGGAAGTGAGGAGGTGGGAGGAAGGGGGAAATGCCGGGGAACTGGGGGGCCGGAGACAAGCGGAAAGGTGGGGGGAGGGGGGAAGAAGGGTCCGGACTGGCTGGCGCGGATGAAACACAAGTGAGGAGGGGGGTGGAGGAGGGAGGGGGAGGGGAAAGGGGGGGTTGTTGGGAAGAAAGTGTTGGGTGGTGGATGGGGAATGAGAGAACAGGGGATAGTGGGAACGGGGAAGAAGGACAGGTAAATGGCGTGCTGACTGGCTGGCGCGTTGACTTTTGAGTTGACTGGTAAAAGGTAAATGGTAAATGGTAAATGGTAAATGGTAAATGGTAAATGGTAAATGGTAAATGGCGTACTGACTGGCGTGGCTGAAAGACAAGTGAGGGGAATCTGGGGGAGAATGGGTGAGAGGAGGTGGGGGGGAGGAGGGGGAGCGAGGCAGGGTAGGGGCAGAAGGGAAACGGCACAACCGCGGTTGATCGGCTGGGGCGGAATCATGGGGAAGGCGATGGGGGGAAGGGGAAGGGTTTGGGGAAGCGGGGGAGGGGGAATGGGGAAGCATGGGGGGTGAGGGGAGGGGAGGGAATACAGGGAGGGGAAGGACACGTCAGTGGCGAACCGAGTGGCGCGGATGACACACAAGCGAGTGACAAAGAGGGAGAGGGGGAAGGAACTTAAGGGGAGGGGACACGGGGAGGGAACACAGGGGGGGGGAGGGGAAGGACACGTCAGTGGCGGACCCACTTTTTGAGGCGCCTCCAAGACCCACTAACGCGTATGAAACTGATGAAACATAGGTGAGGGGGTAAGGGAGTGAGGGACAGGGAGAGCGGGCGGGATAAGGAAGGACGCTAAGGCGGGCGGACCAATCTGAAGTAGTCCCCCCAAGTGCAACCTAAGTAGCCCCCCCAAGTGCAACCTAAGTAGTCCCCCAAAGTGCAACCTAAGTAGCCCCCCCAAGTGCAACCTAAGTAGTCCCCCCAAGTGCAACCTAAGTAGCCCCTCCAGTGCAACCTAAGTATCCCCCCCAGTGCAACCTTCACTAGCACTTGGTGATAAAAGTTGAGTTTTGAGGCGTCTCAAAACCCTAAGTAGCCTCAAAAGACGTCGGTGGTGCACCACCATTACAGCCCCATGATTCATGGCTTCATGCTTGCTGCATTAATTCTTTTTTTTTTTTTCCCATCTCCCCCTCCCAGGCCCTCCCTGCCCACCAGCTATCAGAAGGAGGGCATGAGGACGAGTTTGGAGGGGATTGTCTTGGTGCATCATCACAACCACCCACCCACACATCCTGCTGCTGCAACCCCCCTTGAAAACCACTCCCGGATATTGGTGCCCACTCACTCCTGCCCTTGCCCTCCTTCCTTTCCCCCCTCCCAGCCCCTCCCTGCCCACCAGTTACCAGAAGGAGGGCATGAGGACGAGCGTGGAGGGGATTGTCTTGGTGCATCACCACAACCACCCGCACACCCTGCTCTGTTGCAACCCCCCTTGTTGTACCCTTTGCACCGCACTCCCGCCCTTGCCCTCCTTTCCTCGCCCACCAACCAGTTACCAGAAGGAGGGCATGAGGACGAGCGTGGAGGGGATTGTCTTGGTGCATCACCACAACCACCCGCACACCCTGCTCTGTTGCAACCCCCCTTGTTGTACCCTTTGCACCGCACTCCCGCCCTTGCCCTCCTTCCCTCGCCCACCAACCAGTTACCAGAAGGAGGGCATGAGGACGAGTTTGGAGGGGATTGTCTTGGTGCATCACCACAACCACCCGCACACCCTGCTGCTGCTATCCCCCTTGTACCCCTTGCACTCACTTCACTTCTTTGCCCTCCCTCCCTCGCCCTCCCTCCCTCGCCCTCCCTCCCTCGCCCTCCCTCCCTCGCCCCTCCCCCCCCCCCCCTGCTCCAGTTATCAGAAGGAGGGCATGAGAACAAGCGTGGAGGGAATTATATTAGTCCACCATCACAACCACCCGCACATCCTGCTGCTGCAGATCGGAAATTCTTTTTTCAAGCTGCCCGGAGGGAGATTGAAACCGGGGGAGGATGGTACGTTGTCAGGACTTGTTGTTTCTTCTGGTTCTTCACTGGAGGTGTTTCTATGCGGCAATGCGGCATGAGACAGAAGATGTGTTGTAGGCTCTACAGTACGCATCATGCCATGCCAAATGCGCACGAACACGTGCCATGCGCATGCATGAGTATGCACGCACGCATCAGTATGATGTCTACTGTTTTCATGTTTTCATGTGCACGAGTATGTAACGCAGTAACAGAGATTGTGGTGCGAACTTGTCATGTGGCGTGCGCTTGTTTCATGCGTTCTTGCATGTATGTATGTATGTGCTGTGCTCTGCACACCCCACTCCCACTCAATCCCCATCGCACCACATATCATACCCATGCCCACTAATTCTCATTCCCGTCAGAGGTGGAGGGCTTTAAGCGCAAGCTCACCAGCAAGCTGGACCCGTCCATGGCCTCTTTGCCTATCGGTTGCTCTCATGCCCCCCATTCACGCCCATCCCATACCCGATCATCCCCATCCCATACCCGATCATCCCCATCCCATCCCCGCATACGAGGTGACTTTTGAGTCGACTCAAAAGCCATTCTGCCTATCGGTTGCTCTCATGCCCCCCATTCACGCCCATCCCATACCCGATCATCCCCATCCCACCCCGCATAGCGGCTCGTCCCCTTCCTCCCACCCAATAGAGGTGGAGGGCTCTAAGCACAAGCTCACCAGCAAGCTGGGTCCGTATGGTCAGAGGCATGTGCTTCATGTGTCCATCCATGCATGGACATCGCACAACCCCATTGCACCCGCCTGTTGCCCCTCTCAACCCCATCCCATCTCACTCCCCTACCCCCCTTTCCCTCAGAGGTGGAGGGGCTGAAGCGCAAGCTCACCAGCAAGCTGGGTCCGTCCGTGTCCATTCTGCCCGTGCCTGACTGGCAGGTGAGGAGGTAGGGGGGTTAGGTTCGGCAGGCAGGCTCGGAAGGCAGGGTAGAACAGATTTGGCAAGTAGAGACGTGGGCGTTCGTGTCCCGTAGGGATAATAAATGCTGGGCTGTTCGTGTCCCGTCTGCCCTCCTTTCTTCCCGCACCTCTCACTGCTCTCACTGCTCTCAAGTCCAGAAATGCACAATTACCTGGCTGCTGTGTAATTCACGCCTTAGCCTGCTGGCTAGGCGTTAATAACGCGACACCCTCCCCTTCCTTCCACACTCTTTCCCTGCCAGGTGGGCGAGTGCTCTGCTGTCTGGTGGCGACCCAACTTCGAGACGCTCATGTACCCCTACTGCCCTCCGCACATCACAAAACCCAAGGTAGGTTGGTGCATGGTGCGGCATTGATTTGAAAGGACAAGTTAGGAATAGTATTGTAAGCGTAGTAACTTCGGGACGCTCATGTACCCCTACTGCCCACCGCACATCACAAAACCCAAGGTGAGTTGGTGCATGGTGTGCCTGCCAGGATGGATAAACACGCACAAGACATTTGAGCGATGTTTCAGGCGCCACTACTAAGGTAACTTCGAGACGCTCATGTACCCCTACTGCCCGCCGCACATCACCAAGCCCAAGGTGGGTGGTTGACGGCATGCCATGGTTTGTTGAAACACACGGCAGTACATTAGTTTGTTGAGGAACGGTGTTTGAGGCGCAACAAAGGTAACTTGGAGACCCTCAACGGCGCAACAAAGGTAACTTGGAGACCCTCAACGGCGCAACAAAGGTAACTTGGAGACCCTCAACGGCGCAACAAAGGTAACTTGGAGACCCTCAACGGCGCAACAAAGGTAACTTGGAGACCCTCAACGGCGCAACAAAGGTAACTTGGAGACCCTCAACGGCGCAACAAAGGTAACTTGGAGACCCTCAACGGCGCAACAAAGGTAACTTGGAGACCCTCAACGGCGCAACAAAGGTAACTTGGAGACCCTCAACGGCGCAACAAAGGTAACTTGGAGACCCTCAACGGCGCAACAAAGGTAACTTGGAGACCCTCAACGGCGCAACAAAGGTAACTTGGAGACCCTCAACAGCGCAACAAAGGTAACTTGGAGACCCTCAACGGCGCAACAAAGGTAACTTGGAGACCCTCAACGGCGCAACAAAGGTAACTTGGAGACCCTCAACGGCGCAACAAAGGTAACTTGGAGACCCTCAACGGCGCAACAAAGGTAACTTGGAGACCCTCAACGGCGCAACAAAGGTAACTTGGAGACCCTCATGTTCCCCTGCTGCCCTCCGGTCATCACCAAACCCAGAGTTGGTTTGTGCATGGCGTGGCCAGGTAAGTGCCATGCCCACTATTCCATTCTCCATGTGCCATATGCCTCTTCACTCCTCTTCACACCTCGTCACTCTCCTCGTCACTCCTTTCGTCTCCTATTTGCAACTCACCAGTTATCACTCCTCCACATGGCATGAGGTGAAGAAGCTCTGTGTGACTCCCCTCACTGAGAAGCAGTACTTTGGAGTTCCAAGCTACCTTTCCAGTTTCAACTGACTCCCCTTCACTCCCCTTCCCATTCCTCTCCACTCCTCTTGACTCCTTTTCACACCTCTTCTATCCTCCCTTCCAACAGTTATTGAAGAAGCTCGTTGTGGTTCTCCTCATTGAGAGAGAGGCAGTACTTTGGAGTCCCCAAGAACCCAGCTGACTCTTCTTCACTCCCTTTCACTCCCATCCACTCCTCTCCACCACTCATCACCCCTCTCCACTCCTCTCCCTTCAACAGGAGATGAAGAAGCTGGTCGTGGTTCCTCTCACCGAGAGACAGTACTTTGGAGTTCCCAGGAATCTCAAGCCGCCCTGACTCCCCTCCACTCCCATCCACTCCTCTCCACCACTCTTCAACCCTCTCCACTCCTCTCCCTTCAACAGGAGATGAAGAAGCTATTCGTGGTTCACCTCACAGAGCGCCAGTAAGAATCTCAAGCTGCCCTTTCAGCTAACTCCCCTCGACTCCCTTTCACTCCTTTCGACTCCTCTTGACAACTCACTCCTCTCCACTCATCTTCACTCCTCCCCAACAGGAAATGAGAAGCTGTTTGTGGATCCCCTCACCGAAAGGCTGTACTTTGGAGTCCCCAAGAATCTCAAAGTTCCCTTCACTCCTTTTTCAACTCCTCGTCACACCTCATCATTCCCCTTCACTCCTCTTGACTCCTCGCCATTCCTCATTTCCTCTTCATCCCTCTTCACTCCTCTCAATCCCTTGTCACTCCCATCCCCCACATCAGGAAATGAAGAAGCTCTTTGCGGTTCCCTTCACAAAGCGCCAGTACTTTGGAGTTCCCAAGAACCCCAAGCTGCCCTTTCAGCGGACCCCTCTTCACTCCCGTCCACTCCTCTCCACCACTCTTCACCATTCTTCACTCCCCTCTCTCCAGGAGATGAAGAAGCTCTTTGTGGTCCCCCTCACTGAGAGGCAGTACTTTGGAGTTCCGAAGAATCACTCCTCTCCACTCCTCTCCACTCCTTTTCACTCCCCCTCTCATCAACAGGAGATGAAAGAGCTGTTTGTGGTTCCTCTAACAGAGCGCCAGTACTTAGGAGTTCCCAAGAATCTCAAGCTGCCCTTTCTGCTAACTCCCCTCGACTCCACTTCACTCCTTTCGACTCCTCTTGACCACTCACTCACTCCTCTCCACTCATCTTCACTCCTCCCCAACAGGAGATGAAGAAGCTCTTTGTAGTTCCTCTAACAGAGCGCCAGTACTTTGGAGTTCCCAAGAATCTCAGGCCGCTCATTCAGCTGACTCCCCGTCACTCCCCTTCACTCCTTTCGAATCCTCTCCACTCCTCGCCACCGCTTTTCACCCCTCGTCACTCCTCCCTTCAACAGGAAATGAAGAAGCTGTTTGTGGTTCCTCTAACAGAGCGCCAGTACTTTGGAGTTCCCAAGAATCTCAAGCTGCTGGCGGTGCCACTACTGGAGCTGTATGACAATGTGCAGGTGAGGGGGATGGGTGGGGTGAGGATGGGTGGGTGGGTCTGTGGGTGTAGTAGGTCAGTGTGATTGTGTGGCAGCAGTATAAGGCAGGCATGCTCGCTTCCCAAGAATCTCAAGCTGCTGGCGGTACCGTTGTTGGAGCTGTATGACAATGTGCAGTTGAGGGTGATGGATGGATGGATGGGTGGGTGGGTGGGTGGGTGGGTGGGTGTAAGAGGTGTGTGTGGTTGTGTGACATTGTGGTAGCAGTATAAGGCAAGGGTACTTACATGTAGATTCGCTTCCCAAGAATCTGAAGCTGCTGGCGGTGCCACTACTGGAGCTGTATGACAATGTACAGGTGAGGGGATGGGTGGGGTGTGGTGGGGCGTGTGGGTGGGGTGTGGGTGTGGGTGTGGGTGTGGGTGTGGGTGTGGGTGCAATATGTGTGACGGTGTGACATTGCGACAGCAACAGAACAGTGTGTTTGTTGTGCCACTCACGTGCAAAACATCCCAAGCTGCTGGCGGTGGTGCCGCTGCGGGAGCTCTATGACAACGTACAGGTGAGGGTGCTGTGTGTGGGTGGGTGGGTGGGTGGGTGGGTAGGTGTGCAGGTAAGATGGTATGGGGATAAACATGTGTATGAGGACATTAGCATCCCAAGCTGCTGGCAGTGGTGCCGCTGCGGGAGTTCTATGACAACGTACAGACAGGTGAGGGGGACGGATGGATGGGTGGGTGGGTGGGTGCAATTGCAAGAGCGTGTATTGAGAAGCAAGTGCGTGAGTAGGTGTGAAGGTGAGGGGTGTGCGTGGCTGGTGTTTTGAATCGACTCAAAACACGATTCATTACACGCGTGTTGAGTCAACTCAAAACACGATTCATTACACGCGTGTTGAGTCAACTCAAAACACGATTCATTACACGCGTGTTGAGTCAACTCAAAACACGATTCATTACACGCATGTTGAGTCAACTCAAAACACGATTCATTACACGCGTGTTGAGTCAACTCAAAACACGATTCATTACACGCATGTTGAGTCAACTCAAAACACGAATTATTCAGAAGCAAGTGTGTGAGTAGGTGTGCAGGTGAGGGGTGTGCGTGGCAGGGTGACTGGGTGTGTGTGAGGGTGGGGATGTGGCTCAGGGAGGATGAGGGAGGATGCAAGAGGTGTGACTGTGTATCAGTGTGCCAGCACTATCCTGTCAGTGCTGCTAGTGAAGGGCGGAGCTGACTGTGTATCAGTGTGCCAGCGCTATCATGCAGTCGCATTCACTTGTAGAGGGATTGAAGCTGCTGGCGTTGGTGCTGTGCTATCAGAGTTGAGGGTGGGGATGTGGCTCCTTGTGACTGCAAGAGGTGTGACAGTGTATCACTGTGCCAGCGCTCTTCCGATTCTCCTCTGCTTTCCCTTCCTCTCTTCCTTCTCCCTCAGCAATATGGCCCAGTCATCTCTGCCGTCCGCCCTTCCTCACTCCCTCTGATATTCCAACTCTCACTCCCTCTTGTCATCATCTCTGATTCAATCCACCATCCGCCCTCCATCCCTTCATGTGCCCCTCTCTCCTCTCAGCGATATGGCCCAGTCATCTCTGCCATTCCATTCCAACTCTCACTCCCTCTTGCCATCCCCTCTGACTCAATCCACCATCCGTTCTCCATCCCTTCATTTGCCCCTCTTCCCTTTCAGCGCTACAGCCCAGTCATCTCTGCCATTCCTTCTGCACCTCTCACTCCCTCTTCCTTTCCCCGCAAATTCATTCCTTCGCACTCAATTCGCCGCCCCTATCCCCCTTCCTCTCTCTTCCTCTCTTTCTTCTCCCCCTCAGCGCTACGGTCCAGTCATCTCCGCTATTCCGTTGCAACTCTCGAGATTCACATTCAACCTCATCCACGACTCGTGATGACTCAGCAATCACTCGGCAGTGACTCAGCTGACGCAGCAACGACTAGGCTGAATCGGCGAGGGTTAGGACCCTGGGATTACCTCTTTTTTACTCAACAAGGACTCGTAATGAATCATCAATTGTGAAAGTGTACTTAGGCTGACTGGCAAAGGCAGCGTTATCATTTCATATGGGTGTAGTAGTACATCGTTCTCGTCTTATATATGTCTACATAACAGCATACACAAAGGGGTGGGCGGGTGGGAAATTAGAACTACAATTTTGAAAATGAAAACGTGGGTGGGGACGAATGTCCCCACGTCCCTCTTTTGTAGGCAAAAGAGGGTGAGTAGCGCTTCGGCGCTACCTTTGCTGTGTTGGCCACGTACCCCTTTTCCCAATACAAAATTTTAGAAAGTGTTACATTTCATTACACTTTCAAAAATTATCATATTGTGAAAGTGTACTTAGGCTGACTGGCAAAGGCAGCGTTATCATTTCATATGGGTCTTCTGAGGCAAGCGCAGTCGGGGCTGCCGGTGGCGTTCGATTGATAGCTGATGCGTAGCGGGCGAGGGAGCCGTCGAAGGATCCTGCAATTGCGTAGAGAGGGAGATGAGCTGATCCTGCGCGATTGTAACGTACATCTCCTTCGCGCTGTCGCTGCGCCATCGGCCCATGCGTTTGAAGAGCCGGTCAGGAGCTCCGAGGCTCGCCGCTGCAGTGGCTGCGCCTTTGCGGAATGAGTGGGTTCCGATGTGCGCGACATCCAGTCCAGCTTGCCTGCCGGCTGCGAGGCACCAGTTTCTGATCGTAACGTAGGATGGCGATTTGTCGTTCGGTGTGGCTTGTGAGTGCGGAGATAACTACTACAACGGGAGCTTAGAGTGCTGGCTAGGCACGTGTGCTCGTGTGATGTCTGCGTTCGTTGGTCCTTAGACGTTTTCCTAGTGCTCACACTGCTTGCTAGTTCACGGGGCAATTTTGGCAAGAGTTTCACTAGAGAAAGTTGTCAATGATGGTACAATGAAGTTGGCAATGCAAGACTACATCAGAGCTAGCATTCAGGTTGGTCGACTGCCAGCACAGCATGGTCGACTGCCAGCACAGCATGGTCGACCGCGTTCCAGCACGACTTGGTCGACCACGCTACAGCAGTGCAAAGTCGACAGCTTGCCAACGCTGCAGGTTGACGGTGTGCCAGCATTGCTCACGCAGGACAGCAGTGCACCCGCTTTGCAGGTGCGCGCAGATGATTGGCATGCAAAGTCTCGTCACCTGCACAGCGCATACACCACGTCAACCTCGGGCTAGCGACTGCCTCTGATCCGCCACGACGACCTCGGGATACCACCATGGAGGTCGGTCTCGCCAACTTCGCCTGGGTGACCGTCGCACTCCTTCGCAGAACCTCGTCACCCAGGTATCCTGGTCGACCGGGCAACTATGTCGACCAGCTGCTCCTGTATGTGCTCGTCGACCTCCCAAGTCGACAACCACACCAGGTCGACCTCACCAGGTCGACCACTCCTCCGGTCGACCAGATCCAGGTCGACGTCACTCCTGGTCGACCAGTGCAGTTGTCAGCTACCCAAGTCGGCGTCACCAAGTCGACGCCCCTTCTACGTCGGCGCCGACTTCCAGACTGACCTCTTGAAGTTGGCGACCTCCCAAGTCGGCGACCTTGCAAGCCGGTGACCTTGCAAGTCGGTGACCTTGCAAGTCGGTGACCTTGCAAGTCGGTGACCTTGCAAGTCGGCGACTTCCAGGTCGACGTGCCACATCGCCGACCACCAGTTGAAGTCGGCCGCTGGCTTCCCAAGTCGGCGGTATTGCAGTGGCGCCGTGCAAGTCGACCAACCCCGTCGACCAGCTCGTCCAAGTCGGCGTCGCCCACTGCTGCAAGTCGGCTGTACCTTCCGTACACCCCACCACGAAGTCGGCTCCGCCCAAGCGTGGACGGGGCCAACACACAACTCCCGTTGACACTCCCCTGCCGCGTTCACGCTTGGCCCCCCCAAGTCCACTCGGCAGTACTCCTCGGAGAATAGCTCGTCGACGTGCACCCAACACACAGCACGTCGTCCACCGCACCAGCCATGCAAGAGGGCATGGCACCTACTGCTGCACGTTGTCATCTTCGTCGCCCACGTCGGCCAAGCGCACCCGGCCGATGGCGACGGAGCACCGGTTGAAGGCCGGATAGTGCAGCGCCTTCGTCAGGAAGTCGGCCGGCTGCTCAGTGGTCGGGATGTACCTCAGCGAGAACTTCCCGCGCTTCACCATGTGCTGCAGCCAGGCCTGTCGCCGCTCCATGTGCTTGAGGTTGCCCGTCAACCCCATGCCCTCGACGACTGTGATGGCCGATTTGTTGTCCACCCGAAGGACGGTCGGCTTCCCGGCATCCAGCTGCCGGAACTCTGCAAGGAGGAAGCGAAGTCGGCGTCCTTCCTTGCCAGCTTCGGTGGCTGCCACGTACTCCGACTCAGTCGATGACAACGTCGCACACTTGATGCGCTGGCTCGACCAGGAGACTGCGGCCCCTCCATAGACGAACACGTAGCCACCCGTGCTCGTCCTGTTCTGCTTGTCACCGGCGTCGTCGGCGTCCACGTAGCCGACCAGCTCCAGCGACTCAGGTCCACCGCCGAACTCCAGTGCGGTGTCGCGCGTATTGGCGAGGTAGGCGAGACAGCGGTCGACCTCGCGCCAGTGCTGGTCGCTCCTCACCGTGAGGCCGCTCCCCAGCTTGCTGCAGGCGAAGGCGATGTCCGGCCTCGTCGTCGTCGCCGCGAACTGCAGCGAGCCGACCTTCTGCCGGTACTCCTCTTCCTGCCGCTCCTGTGCCTCCTCGTCATCGAACGTGAGCTCGGCGTAGGCATCGACCGAGACCGGCGTCTTCGGGGTGCGCCCGGTCTGCTCCTCGTCGATGAAGCGCCTACGAAGCTTGTCGGCGTAGCCCTGCTGGTGCAGCCACAGCTTCCCCGCCGACCTGTCGCGGACGATCTCCAGCCCGAGGTACTTCTGCACCGGCGAGATCTCACGCAGCTGGAAGGCAGCTTCCAGAAGCTCCTTCAGCTCCTTCAACATCGCGGCGCTACTGCTGGCGGCAAGTAGGTCGTCCACGTAGACCAGCACCCAGCAGGCCACTCCGTCCTTTCCGTCCTTGAAGTAGAGAGCCTCGTCGACCTGGCTCTTCTTCCACCCGGCGCCGACCAGCACGTCATTGAGCGCCAAGTACCATAGCAGCGGCGACTGCTTTAGCCTATACAGGCTCTTCAGCAGCTTGCACACCCGGCCGGTCCCGTCGTTGAAGTAGTCCGGCTGGGACATGTAGAGCACCCTGTCGAGCTTGCTCTGCAAGAAGGCGTTCTTCATGTTGAGCTGCATCAGGTTAAGGTTGCGGACGGCGATGATGCTGAGGAAGATCCTCAGCGTGACGTAGCTGCCCACCGGCGCGAACGTCTCGTCGTAGTCGACGCCGTACACCTGCGTGAAGCCCTTCACAACCAGCCTCGCCTTCTCGCGCTCGACGGTGTCGTCGACGTGGTACTTCGTCGTCAACACCCACCGGTTCTTCATGACGTTCACTCCCGGCGGACGTTCGACCAACTCCCACGTTCCCATGTTGAGGAGGCTGCGAATCTCCTCCTCCATGGCGGCCTTCACCGCCGGGCCCTTCCAGCTTGCCAACGCCTCCTTCACCGTCATCGTCGAGATGTCCCAACGCTGCTCGGGGTCGGCTAGCATGTCAGGGTCGAGCTCTGGAAACTCCTCATCCTCCTCGGCATCGTCGTACAGCAGGTCGTCGGCCTCATCGTCCACGTCGTACACCGTGGTGAAGGCAGCGGGGACGAAGAAGTCAGGCGGTCTCCGAAGTCGGCCTGAACGCCGTGGTCCTGGCTGGACCTCCTCGGCGTCCCCTCCATCGTTGCTGTTGTCGCTGCCCTCGGCGTCCTGCTACTCCTCAGCCGGCGTCCCAGCCGACTTCTCCCCTATGGTCGGCTCCCCTGCCGACTGCCCGGTCGCCGACTGCTCCTTGGTCGGCGTCACTGCTGCCTGCTCCTTTGTCGGCCGCTGGTCCTCGACCTGCTTCTCGACTTGCTCCTCCCCTGTCGACGTCGACTGCAATCCCACGTCGACCTGCCGCTCGTCACGTCGGCCACCGGCGATGCACTTGGCCGAAGGCGACGTCCCACTACTCCCCTCATCGCCGGAGGCCGACACCGAGGTCAGCTCACGCAGGTCGGCCACGAGGGAAGGGGCAGGGGTCGGAGGGGGAGGGGTAGGGCGGACGTCCCCGACGTCCGTAATAGCAAGCTCACCGACCTCGTCAAGCAGTGGCAGCGTCGCCGACGAGGTGTCAGAGGGCGGGGTGGGCAACGAGCGGCCGGACACCGACCCGTACTCCGTCTTCCACTCGGCCAGCGACAGCTCCTCGTAGAACACCACATCCGACGTGGTGACCACCCGGTCGGCGTCGACGTCGAGGAGCTCCCAGCCCTTGCTCGCCGCCGACACGCCAAGGTGCAGGCCCCACCTGGCCTTCGGCTGCAGCTTCCCACCACGCTGCTGCTCGGTGACTAAGAACTGCGCCATGCAGCCCCACACCCGCGCCAGCGACAAGTCGGGCTTCTTCCCGGTCAGCAGTTGGTACGGCGTCGTCCCCGGCGGCAGCGCCGACCTCTCAAGGCAGTTGCGGACCCAGACGGCCTGCCGGAGAGCGAGGTGCCACCAGTGGTGCTGCACGCCCATGTGCAGCAGCATTGTCCGCACCGACTCCACCACCGTCCTCATCTCCCGCTCCGCCATGCCGTTCTGCTGCGGGGTGTATGGGCAGGTCAGGTCGTGGACGATCCCCTTGCCGTTCACGAAGGTGGTGAACTGCTTCCCGAGGAACTCCCCTCCCCGGTCAGAGCGCAGCATTAACACCGACCTCTTCGTCTGCCGCTCAGCCACTGTCAGCCAGTGCACGAACGCCGGCAACGCATTTGACTTCTTGGTGACCGGCTTCACCC